CTAAACTGTTGGCCCTTAGCAATTTGGTCGGATGCGTTATGGTTTCAACCCAGAACTTTGTGCAAGGTTTGGATCTTGACGTGCTGTCTACTTAAATCATTGATTCATTTATTGGTGCTACTTGTTGTTGTTGCTGCTGCTACTGCTGCTGCTGCTGCTGCAGCAGTTGTTGTCGTTGTTGTTGTTGTTGTTGTTGTTGTTGGTGGTGGTGCTGCTGCTGCTGTTGTCGTTGTTGTTGTTGGTTTGTTGCTTTTTAATCAAATTCTATCACCTCATTCTAGAACCATGACCTGCATTTATGGTTTTTAAAACACACAAAGGGACACATCATTTTACCAATCATTTCGGAAAGATCTTCTTGGATGTAATGTTTTGTGAAAATCATGACCCCCTAGTCCTTTTTCATAAGAAAATCAAAGATTAAGTTGTATTAACAATTTCTCGAAATTAGTTCATTTTAATTTTTCGGCTATAAAGAGAAATAGGACTGCATCGTTTTTCATTTTTAAACCGTAAAGAAATTGGGCATTGGAATAGCTTTTGTCAGTCTTAATCTCAGGTTCATCTTTTCCGTTACGGTTTAAAAATGAAAAACGATGAGGTCCTATTTCTCTTTATAGCCGAAAAATTAAAATAAACTACTGCTACTGCTACTGCTACTACTACTACTACTACTACTACTACTACTACTACTACTACTACTACTACTATTATTACTACACAATATCAATAACAATAACAATAATAACAATAGAATAGAGACAGAAAAAAGAAAGAAAGAAAGAAGGAAAAACGAATCGCTGGCCACTCTCACTCTGTCCTTCCCCAGGTGGCCTGGTGTCCGGCACAGGCGGGTTCTCGGCCACCATGCAGTATGCCGGAGCCTGTTACCTTCTGGCTGCCCTGCTCTTCACCCTGGAACCTGGCGCGCGAAAACTTCAGCTGGCCTGGATGCACGGGAGATTGGAAGCTCAGGAACAAGTGTAACCAATAACAACGAGTTAATGAATAATTTACCATCAATGATTTATTTATAGAGGCACCAGCCATCCATGTCTAGGTGCTGTTTTAACCTTAATGAATAATACAAGTTATAATAATGTGCTACACGGGAACAATAGTCGATCATGAAACATTATAGTGCTTGTCTACCATTCATTATAGCCAGTGTCCACTTTTGCTTTCTGTAAGAGGCTGAAACATTCGTACCGTCAACCGGCTCATATTTCCAAGCGTGGGGATGAAATAATAGATCTAATAATTATTGTCACTACCCGGGTAATTCCCACCGCTCACCAAAATTATCAAACCTCCCACTTGTTGATGATACCTTTCAGGTTGGCAGGCACTGGCCTACAGGATAACTCAGTATCTTGAATGACAGAAAGATCCTTTTCAGACATTACACTAGCAGAAGATATTCGGAGACGTCTCTGGCGAGCACCCAGGAACTATTTGGAGATGCAATTTCGCACACAGATGCACTGCTTTGGTAGGCCAAACTGCGTATTATTAGCTGCAGATCCCACATATAGCCACTAAAACTGTCGCAAATCAATCATTTTCAAGAAAATTTCAAACTTAACCGCAAAATATCAAATTATAGGTTAAAACAGGGGGCCCCCTGAAACCTCCCAGATTTCTTTTCTTGGTCTAGAGGCTCAAAGCATTTTGATTGGTGTATCTCCGTCGGAGACGTCTCCGAATAGATACTTCGGCGCATGATACTGGATGTTGAGGGAGACACGCACTGCATCATGTATAACTGAATGCCTAACAGGTACAACCAGCGAAATGCTCTACCTCCGAAGTTAACGTTTGTCTCAAATAGGACCGTCGAGCCAGATGGGTTGGGAGCCTTGAAAACACTACAAACCGACAGAATTCAAGAATATCTAGTCTGGGATTCGAGCCAGGGCCACTCGCTCCGTGGCGCAGCCTGATACCAACTGAGCTAACGAAGCGTTCAGACTGGCTTTGTATAGGATCTACAGGTGATAGAAATCCTTTGTTCAGTACTAGACACAAAAAGGAGTTTACTCTTTAAGGACGCAGAGGACACACACACACACACACACACACACACACACACACA